CCCCAAAACCCCAAAACCCCAAAACCCCAAAACCCCAAAACCCCAAAACCCCAAAACCCCTTTAAAGAAAGTTTATGTTGAAGATTCTGAGAAATATTTACTAATTTAAAAGTAAGCCAAGATCTCTGCATACTCAGACATTCTCTGGGGCTCCTAGTGGGGGAGCACCCGTCTTTCTATTGGGTCATTATTTTTGATCCTTGGTGTAAATCTGACGATATTTTTAGTGCTGAATCATAGAGATTACGATATCTTGGCAAAGTCGATCATTATAGGAGACTCTTGTGTTGGGAAATCAAGCCTGATGCTGAGGTACTCAGAAGATAGCTTTGATTGCCATCAATTCTCCACAATAGGTATCGTCTTTGTCTAACTTTTAGGTGTTGATTTCAAGATAAAGACTATTAAAGTTAACAATAAAGTCGTCAAGATGCAGATCTGGGACACTGCTGGTCAAGAGAGGTTCAGGACGATCACCAATAGTTATTATAAGGGTGCTCATGCAATCTTGTGTGTCTATGACTGCACCGATAGAAAATCATTCGAAAATATCCAACACTGGATGCAGGAAATTGACAAATACGCCAAAGATAATGTCGTCAAGGTTATTATAGCAAATAAGATCGATAGGGAGGACAGAGTTGTCTCTTCAGATGAGGGAAAGAAGCTGGTTAGCAACCTCAATCATCTTTACAAGTCTAAAATCTCCTCAGATGCCTATAAAGTTCACTATTTTGAAGCTTCTGCTAAGACCGGTGAAAAGGTAGAAAACCTTTTTGCTTTTTGTGCTGAGAAGATACTTTATGCACAGAAGATCGCGGTCGAAGAAAAAGATGAGAATGCTAAGATTTTAGAACATCCAGAGCTCGCTCTCCCTAGGAAGAGAAAGAGTAGATGGTGTAGATGGCTGCTTGATTCATTTTAGTGCTAACTAATTGTAAAAATACTTCTTGCTTAGGTTCAAAATATAAGTACATTTCTGTCAGAATTTAAAGGTGAATTTATTGACATAGTTTCAATTTTGAAATTAAACACTGGGGTTTTGGGGTTTTGGGGTTTTGGGGTTTTGGGGTTTTGGGGTTTTGGGG